ATACCATGAGTGGCAGGTGGCTGAATTTTACGGAGACTTGCCACGGTCTCCAACCCTCCTCCTTTCTCCTTCGGGCTTGGGTCCGGCCATGGCGGATTAAAAGTAACTTAACCATCATTTCTACTGTATGTCTTTCACGGCGAGACTGTCGCCGTTATGACGAATACAGCTGTGTATTTGATGTAATTGTGCAAATAATTTGGCCATGCTGTCTGATGCGAAGGCCTTTTATGGTGACACCTAGATCCGTCCTATAGCCGTGTGTTATGCTGTGCGATTATCAGTAAGACGTAATCCCCAAACCACCCATAGCGTAAGCATAAGTTCTGTATATCTTTGTAGCTGTTTTAGGGCATTCGGGAATGTGATCATAAGGTCTGCTGAAAGGTTTGATTGTAGGAAGAGAGTCGCTGATATTTGCTCGCGGGTCATCAAGGATTCTATGAAAGGGATCAAAGGAATAATGTATCTCTGGATCAGCTAAATGAGTGGACCATGCTCGTTGTTAGTTACAGTAATACATTATATATCATCATGCGTTAAGAAGGTAGACGGTATAGAACAAAGATTTCGTTATAAATACTAAAATATTTCAGCGAGAATAAATTCAGTTAGTACTCCAAATCCTCCTATAACTATATTTCCTAGAAGAACATTTTATCCAAGGCAGATTTATCTCAAAGCATAAGATGACCCAATGTTAAGTGATTGCGACTGCACAGTCAACTGATCATTTGAAATTAGGCGGTTTGACCAGGGAACTATAACATTTCTTCTTGAAATGTTTCTTTAAAATGCCTTTATTTCGCGTTGAAGAGATGTTAATTACATGTCGCTATATAGGTTGCTTGCAATTGAAGGATTAGGGTCATGCGTTTGGGATTTCTGAAGGAAAGGACTATTGTGACAAGGTCACGAGTGTAGACTGGGCAACTATATATATATACACTGAAGAAGTGCCCTCTTTTTGCTGCCTCTCATCACAGAGTTCAGTTCCTTCGTCTTTTCCGGGATTAGAATTGGCCCATTTGAGAAGAAGCAGCTGCAGATAGTGGAAAACGCTGTACTCATGAATATTTGTATGATTGCATGAATCTAACCAGGACTGCGTCGCTAGCCTGCTCGATTTGAAGAGTATCAGTAATGATGTCATTTATAAATATATTGAGAAACAGTATTGACATAACCTTTGACTATACCCAGACTGTTCGGCATGACCTCTGACTTCTGGTAATCACACTTCGCGAACTGACGACGAAGGTACAGATAGTTAACAAGCCATCGGAGGATCGAGCGGGCCATTTAAGTTGAGGTTAGTTTCAGCATCAGGCCATTGTGCTAGATGTTACTGAAGGCAGAGGGAAAATCGAAAAATGCTGTCCTGGTGATTCTTCTGCCTTTGCCTAGTTCGTTGGCGATTACGTTTCTGACGTAGGCGAGGTCATTGCTAGTTTATTCCAAACTTTCTGTAGGCTAACTGTTGTTGATCAATCGTATCCTTGAGATTCAGCTCCAGGATCTGCAGAATTATGTTCTGTAAGCATTTAGATAGATTAGAAGTTAATGCGATGGGTCGAAAAGAATCGAGTTGACTGCAGTTGATTTCCTCTTCTTTGACATCTAAACTGCCGCTGTTGTACGCCATGTACTGGGAATAAGTGCGTTATGCAAAGAAAAGGATTGCCAAAGTACTGTTCTTCTGCATACGTAAAGGAATATAAAGATGTAGCGAAATTAAATGAATTGTAGATCACGGTTGGCATAAAGTAAATAAATGAAACTGAAAATGTGAAGAAAACCTGTATTGCCAAGGTACTGTAAAAGGCAACAACATGAGAAGGAACTATTGTGCTTTGTTTCCAGATGCTTATGGGTGTTTCTCAGCCGAAAGTGCGGACCAACAATTGATTCTCCACAAGGGCGTTCCAAATTTGTGGCCTGCAGTATAACTGCAGACAGTAATAGGGCACTGAAGACTTGTTGCGAAGGATATTTCTGAATTCCCCTGTTGGACTGGGGACCAATTAACAGCATTCTGGAAGCGGCATTATCTGTTCAGTTTTTCATCAGGCTTTTTCATACTTTTTAATTAAACTTGACAGTTGCAATTGGTTGGTTCATCCTACCATCACATCACTTCCTTCACATTTAGGCAGCTGCCTGTTGGTCGGATTTCCTTTTCAGTTTTCAGCTAACCAGTTCGAAGGTTTTTCCGCGGTCCTCATGTCGCGGACGTGTAACACAACCCTATGCATTGTTTTGGCAAATTATTGAAAGAAGTTATCATTTCATGAATGCAGGTCTTAAACGTTTTACATAGCTGGTTTTACCAGCTAAATAGGCCCCCCTATCGTCACTCACCCACTTGTACTTCTAGTTGACGTGAAGACAGTCTCACTAGATAATGAGCTGCATTGATAATACTTGATGGTCGAAGGTATTAGCAGCATATGTATACCGCTGTGGCAAGGTTATGTTGGCAGTTTACGCTGGATGTTAATGTGACACTGTCGATGACCATGAACATACAAATGCACTGTTACGTCCATCATTGCAACCTTAGAGTGACATTGATTGCAGTACTAGTTTAAGCTAAAACATGAAAAATGAAGACCGCCGTATCTGTGAATATGAAGGCACGAAATGGTTTTTATCATTGGGCGAAAGTGCTGTTGTCTTGGCAAGATATCAATCTTTTTCTTATGTTTACCAGTGGGATTACCGAGCAGTGGCGTCTTTCGTAGCCCAGTAATTTTTTACAAGTTTATTGGATCATTTGTAATATTTAAGTTTTTATTCCAATGATTTGGTGAAAAAAATCTGTACACCGGTGTCATGGTCCTCATAATATGTACAGTTCGTTATTTGGCACTTGTCTGATTGATTCGAGTAAATTATGTTTGGAAAATCTGGAACCTTCAACATCGTTTTCACGAAATGGACGTCAACTCTGTGTATGTGTCGATAGAGCATCGTATTTGGACACAAAATGTCACGAGGGACAGTTCACTGTTTTTCACATAATGACTGTAGGCGCTACTGAAATTCTTGTGCAATCATGTGGAATGAATATCAGCGGTAGAGCAGAAGCTAATCTTATCTGCCTCTTTGCATCTGGTCATATTTACTCTTGTAGATAGTCGTTCGTCAGGCTACAGTTTGCTTCTGCAGTCATGCTACTTCTACGGTGTTGAGTAAATCATTTGATTATAGTCTCTTTAGTTTATCGATTAACTTCTGGAAGTAGTATCTTACGATGTTTTTCGAGATAGCATGTTCATTTTTTTGATTAATTGGTTTTTTTGTTGTAGCTAACTTTTGAACGTTTTTATCGTCAGTCGTGGTGCTGGTGCTTTGGTTGGCATTTGGTGTGATCGCTGCCTGGAACCGAAACTTTACTGACTTGGAGACTGATGCTTTTTACAGTGAAAGTTGGCATATGCGAGTTGATCGTCTGCATTTCTTTGTGCGTTAAAGCCGTGTCCGCCGATCGGACGGTAAGCATATGAACTAAGCTTTTCATTTTTTTAAATCTCTCCTCTGCTTAAAAGAAATCGCGCTTACTGTCTCAGTGTCGTTTGTAAGGCTATGGCATTAGACCAGGCCTTAGACGTTTTCTTGAATGTAGCATTAACTTGGCCGAAAAGTTGGCCTGAACTTGATCTCTGATTGACCTTAGATTTGACATGGCACTTTTTCTTATACCTGGTATTACACTTGGTTCTTCCGGCTTCAGTGACGTGGCGGAGGCCGCTTTTTACGCACAATGTCTGCTACCAAATTCACGAAGTTTTTCTTCAACTGCTTTCACCCGTACACTGAAGGCCTAATTAAGATCGCAACATCAGCTCTGGCAGTATCCCACTACGTCTTAAATTGTCCCCGTTTTTTAACAGTGTCATCCAAGGTTCAGATTGGCGTTAAGTGTAATGGAGGCAGCTTCGTCTGCTGGACGTTTCAACAAGTATCCCGGTCAGTGCAACCGCTGTTCTTTTAAGACACAGTTTAGAGCTGGTTGATGTTGTATTGAATTGACAGTGGAGCTGGTTTCGCGATATGTTTCGTAAATACCAGTCGTTTTCGACTTTTAAAGCTAAGCTCACATCCGTATGCAAGGATGAATCCAACCACGGTCAGCAGAACTCAACAGTTTGTCTTCTGCCTGATTTCTCATCGTTTCCAACGCGGCTTGCAGGGCTGAAGGAATGCCGTTTCCGTGCTATTGTTATCCGAGTTGCAATTTCTTCTTTACACTGTGCCTATTTTGTTAATACATAACATCGAGGCGAAGTGGTTGATACCAGAAATCGTCGTGCTGAATGACCGACCAACGACGTGACTGACAGCACACGGCTATGTTCCTAACGAACCTTCAGCATATATCTGATGTCGTGCTGTTAAACGTCTCCTCTCGCTTAAGTGGCCTCTTATATCGTCATAGTGCGATGCGAACAAATCAGATGATGTTGATTACGAGTCATATCAGAAACTGTCAGACGAACTCAGATACGAGCAATTAGCTTGGTTTGGTACAAACGACACAAAATTTGAATGATAATGTGGCTTTTCAAGAATGACATTCGCTCATTGGCCGCAAACGCATTGAAGGAATCTGTCCAAGCTGCTGTGACGATGAACGTAACCATAATGTTATTCTGATATTTATTTCTGATACTCAAGCATTATCCATTTGCGCTAATGTGTTCTTTGAACTCTGTTATCAAGAGATGAGGATTATCACACAAAAACAATAACAGAACTGATTTAGTCAAGTAGACGTGCCGCATCTGCATGATGAATGTTAAAGAGTATTTTCGTTGCAGTGAAATACTCACTTTTCACATCATAAAGAATGACCAACAATTACAAAAATGAATCGCATGTCAAGGCAATATAACAGAAACAAGTTTATGCGTTTGTTCGACGGTGACAGTGATTTATTAGGAAACTGAACGTTGATTAAAGAGAAAGTCCTAAGCATTCGCTGATAGATATCCTCTTGCATTTAAATGTGAACTACTGAAATCGGCAGTATTTATGCAAGTGCGATAGAACGTTGATTACGTTTAGAACGTTTAGACAGAATGATGTATTCGTGTTGATTTCCAGTCTTTTTCTGGTGACCCCAATACCTAGGAGCCGTCAGCGGCAGATATTACATTTCTCATATCTCAGCAAATTAGCATACGAGTATTTTTGTAAGTCCATTTTTTACTTGCACGTAGTTAGTTTCCACAGCACTGTTACGTTTCAATGATGGTAGATCATAATCTGTTCAAAAGAATTTTCGACGCATGATGCTCATCAAGCGTTCTGAATTTCAGTCGAAATTTCTGTCATGCTGTTCCTTACGAACGAAATTTAGTTTGTAAAAAGGATAACAATCGTCAAAGGATAACAATTTACTGTTTGTTGAAATGTTCGACGCAGTGTTCCAGAATCGTCCATGGTTAATTAGTTGCCGTATGCAGACCATCCTCTTCTGTGTTCATTCTCCAAACAAATCCCGGAACAGAATGGAAAGTTTATTCACGTATGTGTCATTCTCTTTGAATACTTTGGCATCACCATTTTTCCAAATGACCAGTCGAGAGACGAATTTAAGGTTTAGATGGCAATTGAATGGAGCTTTCCTCCAGACCCGTTGTAAAAACGGCTAGAGATTAGTCCGAAGACGCAATGTTAAGTTCTACAGACCGCTAGCTACTCAGAACTCCTTTTTGGACGTGAGTGCTCGGTCTTTATCTCGAATCGAATACATGAAAAAAACAATCATTCTACCACAGGCGTTGACGAATCATTTCGCGGACACAACTCATTTCATCATTTCTCTGCTGTTCTGGAAGAACGGTGACTAAGACGCTTGGGCACATGTTTAGACGTCCACTAGACGAATTCATCCCTTTAACCTTGAACTCCACTCTGATCCCTTGATGGCACTGGAAAAGAGGCAGTAAGCTAAGACCGGGAGGGGTGGGGGGGGCACTGTCTGAGATGACGTTAAAGTTCTCTCTGCGCCGGCAGTGTATGGGAATAAATGATAGAAGAACAACAGTCTGAAATGATGGCTAGCGTAAATTGCACGTGATCGAAGAGATGGAAGGCAGCGATCGATATTTCACTGCATTCGGCTAAAGCAGTGATGATGGCAGGCGTGACAATAACATGCATGTTCCACAAGCTAACGCAAATCTTCTCACAAAACATGCGTAGTGGCGTCTTGGTAGTCTTTCAGTGAATTAGTCTTTTTTCAGTGACCTCATCCTTGGACAGTGACCTATGCAAAGCAGCTGCTGCTGTTAGTTGAACCACTTAAAGTTAAGTGATTGACAAGTCTGCGCCTGGAGATAAAAAGAAAACTTAGATTTGATACCTCTGTAGTTGTTCGCTTTGATCATGAAACCATGATCAGTCGGGGGTGTGGTTACTTAACAAGGCAGTGATGCTATGAGGCGAGAGACGCCTTTATTGTTTTCGTGCACACTTTTGACAAACCACTGGACACGAATAATTCACCGTTCGTGTTGACTTAAAAGAAGCTTTGCTGAAACTATATGATGTTGCCATCTATACTCAACGGAGGATGACTGCAGGTCAGTTGATCGTGCCATTTATATCCTTGCTAGACGTCACCTGCTGTTTACTCCTACATTGTCTAGTCTGTATTAGCGCGCTTTGACTCGTCTCAAGCTTGACCGTCTTATTTGGAATTATACTACCAAAGGTACCTGTTAGTCGTCGTTACTCTTCGTACATATTTTTCGTGTCTGTACTGCTACTGCCTACTTTTCTACATTTGCACATACCCGTACTGTTGTCGACGTTTGAGTGGCTCTTTACATTATTAGCTAAATCATGTGATGACTTGTCATTCATTACACTGGCTGTTTTTATTATGTTTGCATAGCTGATCACTGTTAACGGTCATCACGCCGTCACGTTCGTCTGACTGTTGTTAAGCGTGAAGTGTAAAGTCTGATAATTGATAGCACTCTTGCTGGCGATGCGTCAGTGTTTGAAGGACAGTCACACCTAGACATTGAACTGGGCACACTGGAGGTTGATCTAAACAGACAGCACTAACTGTCAATTTGTGAGAAGAAGGTTTGAAGTTAGCAGTATGATAATTCGAAGACCACATTGACATCTTTTTTTTAATTACAAATATCTGCGTTATTCCATTAAGAAAGCAAGTTGTCCGAACTTCAGGTGTAAACTGACCTTGTATCCGAAGTATTATTTTATGTTCGAAGGCTCGCATTAAATTTTCGATTTAAGATTCGTAGGAGAGTTGCATTGGTCGAGCTATTGAAAAGTTGATTACGAGTTATTTTCAACTTAACTCTTGGTAGTTGTTTTTTTCTTTGGCACCTCTGCACCACATGACTCATTCGAGTCTTACCAGGTCTAAAATTATCATGATCCCTTTTTCACACGTGTTTGACGTAAAGAACAATTGCAGCTATGATTTCATAAGTCACAAGGCACAGGATAGAGGAAGGATCTGATCTCCGTCAGTGTGATGCGATAGAATAAATGAAAATGATTTAGTTTACCAGTCATTTAGCAGCGACGAAATTTGCGAAATCAGGATTACGGCAGCTCATGCATTATTAGTCGCTTATGTGGCTAGGATATCCCGCAAATCATCGACATTTATCTGATACTTTCTGTGAGCATTAAATAATTGCCAAACGGAAGGATACGAGAAGAAATCGTACAGAAGCACTTTCTTCATCATAAGCGTTTTTCAGCGCACTGTTGAACGAAAACTTCTCTGAGACTTTGACATGAACTTTTCGTTTTCTGTGATTCTTCCTATCCATCTTTATCCTACGACCTTCTTCAGTTCATCCTGTCATAGGTTTTGAGGTCGTTCTACATCCCGCGATTTGTTTTCTCTTGGAATGCAGTCTGTTAATGACAGCGCAGGCTCGTTTATATGCTCTGCTCTCTCAAAATTCGTTCTTGTTCGTAATTTTTTCTCTTTTTCCCAATAGGTACCGTCCCATACTGAAGTTTAACCTTCGGGCTTAGAGTCCAAGATTCGCATCATCCGTCGGTTAGCACTTACGGAGCACTTTGTTTGGTTATCTCAGTGCATGGAAGATTTTGCGTACTTTGTTTCATCATCTGCTTCAGTTGATTGTCCATCAACCTAGCTTTTCTAAAAAGTCAGAAAGATTAGGTTTTTTTAGGCCGTTCGTCATGCCGACCTTATCGACGGCAAACCAGTCAGCCACGTGCTGTGCGTCAGCATCCCAGAAAACAAACATAACTATTTGGTCCGTATACAACTGGTTATCATATGGAATATTACCAATTTTGTAAACTGCTTTTGCCCTTTCAGTCGGTAAAAATCATGAAAGCCGTCTGTCGAGTCCAACACGCTCTTAAGGACACGGATTTCCTGCGACTGACTGTTAGTAGCCGCCGAAGGATTCGACGTCTCCTAAAACCTGCCTTCCATTCTTCATTCTTGCAATATCTTCCACAACTTCGATCGTCACACCACGTTGCCATTCACTGCATAGTTGCGTGTTCTGAGCGTTTTCCACGAACGTGAGTAGACAGACGTGTTAAAATTGGAAGCCACGTTTTGGGCCATAGGACAAAAATCTCATTTTTATTCATGAATTTTATGCTTTATTGTTTTTTTATATTTTATGCCTGATATGTATTTTTTGGATACGGCGTCGTCCTTACCCTAAACCCTGAAGAGTTAGAGTAGAGTTGGAAATAGAAGAACACGTACAGTGTGAGTAGACATATAAGTAAGCTACATGGTTTGTCGCGTGGTTTTTTTTTGCGACATCCGGATTATCTCTAGTGACTGCCCCTGTTTTGCCTTTTTGAAAGTCTGTACAACCAGAAACATACGCTCGACAGAGAAAAGTTCATTTTGTCTGATGCAAAGCCATTAGTCAGATGTCAGCTTCTGTCGGATGTCACCTTTCAGAACAGTATTGCTAGTTTTTGCTGATTTGCTCTCTGATCTGTTACCTCGATAACTGTAGCACTACTTCATTAGCCGTAAAGATGTGTGGTATCAAAGAGGTCTTTGGTATTTCTTGCATCTGCAACGATTGGATTTAAGAAATTTATGGTGTTCCATTGGATTACAGATGTGCCATGAGGTTTAGAAAACTTCAATCCTAGCTTTGTACAGCTCGGTAATCCTGAATCTACATTCGCCCAAATTGTGAACAGTCTGCTGGATTGCAGCATCTGCTTAGCGTTAGTAGCAGCTTGGTTTCCTTTTTAAATGGTATTCTGCTCTTGCGTCGAAAATCTTTCTTTATATTGCATCTTTCCGGTGCTTGTACGAATGCGCAGTAACGAGGACTTATTATCAAGTCATGACAAATATCCTCGTTTTCGGTCATACGATACCATAAATTGTTGATTTACACCAAGATATTTTTTTCTTGCCACCAATCTCCGTATCGGGTCTGCTTAGCCCACAGTAAAAGGAAGCTGAAACAGTGATTTCTGTTTTCAGTTGGCCATACTGAATTGTTCTGTCACAGTCATCCAACGCTACCAGAGCTTAAACATAAGCTTAATCCAAAGTTATGATGTCTGAATTTTTGAAATAGTATCTTACATTGATATTAGGCAACATTCATCGTTACGACAACAAAGGTCATATTCTGTGTCTCCATCTCGTCTGTCTAAATGGACTGTTTTCATATTTTCTATAGTCCTCTAACGCGCGTAACCTCGGTTTTCAAAGGTGTCTAATGCCTCACTGCCGTGGCATTTTTCTACCTCGTATGAAAATTCTGTCAACGCCATGCCAAAGTCAATTTTAGAAAGATTCTTTACAGTCAGTACTGCAATCGAATGTTTTTCGTAATCGTTGGAATCTTTCTATGACCTTATTCTTACGCCTGCCGTCCTGTTCAGGTCGTACGTTGAAGCCCTGCGGACTTTGTGGCAAAGACACGCGAAGATAGCACAAGCAAAATTCTAACCTCGAAGTATACGGTGGTATTTTTTGCATAAAATGCGTAGTACCAGAGGTAAATGATAAAATTGCGGCTGCGACATAGCGTATGGATGATAAAGAATATATATCCCGCAAACTCAGTGTAACGTTACTGAGCCGTGTAACCAATTGCATCGGTGGTACAGACGTCGGCGATACATGGACCGCAAGCATAAAGCGGCCGCTTGCGACCAATAGCAAGCGCAGCACCATTAGTCATGCGCGTCACCATTCGATCAGCATGAAAACATGACGTGCCATACTCATTGCTACTCTGAAAATCGACCGAGCTTGATTCGAAACGTCAGATGGAATTGTTAATAAAAATATTTTATGCGTTGTCCCGCCGTTTGTCACATACCAACGCATCGTGTCATCTTCCACATGATGAAATCGTGCATCATGTTCAGTATATTAGAAAAATTTTTTGCTGCCTCAATGCAGGCGAAGATTCGTATAAGTTTCTTGCAGACAACAGTTCCTGATTAGATTATTTACTTGATGATACGTTGTATATTTAATGTTTCAAAGACATCTTTGCTATGATATATTTAGACGCTGTTCGTTTGTTTTTCACGCTTT